CTTGCTATGATAGTTGGGAGCACCTTTCTAATGCTAAAGGGCAGCACCTTAGTGATGATCTTATAAAGGCTATTTACTAGATTGATCGGCCTGTAATCTTTTGGATGATTTGCATCACTTTTCTTGGGAACCAAAGCAATGAAGGTGGAGTTTAACCCAGGGTTGATAAATCCTCTGGTATGGAATTCATCAAATACCAACATTAGGTCCTCCTTTAGTATCTCCCAACAATCCTGGTAAAAAGCCATCGTAAAACCATCTGGGCCCAGTGCCTTTGATCTATCCATTGAGAAAACCGCCTCTTTTATTTCTTCCAACTCAAACTTCTTTTCCAACCTCACCCTATCTTCTCTCTTCAGTGTTTCCAAACCTTCCAGCCACACCCTTTTATTTAGAAGCCTTCTAAATATATGCCTAAAATGATCTGCAAATGCTTCTGCAATTTCTCTTTGACTTGTGACAGTTTCCTCTTCAATCTCCAATCTGGTAATAAAATTTTTCTCCTTCTGCCACTTGCCAAAGCATGAAAGAACCTAGTGTTCCTGTCCCCCTCTTTTAGCCACTTGCATCTTGACTTCTGCCTCCAGCTTATTTCCTCCTAAAGAATATAATCATCTAATTGTTTACGCAATTAATCTCCATCTTTGTTCCTTATCCTCTACAGTTAGGCTGCCTCTCCCTTCTTTGTTGTCCAGATCTTCAATTTGTGTAATCACACTCTGCTTCCCTTCCTCCAATCTCCCAAACTCTAATAAATTACATTCCCTGATTCTTCCTTTCAAATATTGGAGCTTTTTATGAAACCACATCCCACACCACACCACTGCAGGATTGCTCTCTGACCACCACTCTTCTACTTTATTAATGAAACCCAGGTGCTCTAACCACATGTTTTCAAATCTAAATGGAGCGGGACCCGCATTTCTCACCTCCTCCTTACAAAATGCAATAGGCCAATGATCAAAGGTCACCCTCAGGAGCACTCTAGAGTTCAGATCCCCCCAATGTTCTTCCAAATCATTTGAAAATAAGAATCTGTCCAGCTTAGAGAAAATTGGGTTGGTTTGGAGATTGGAGCATGTATAACACCTTTGTGACAATGGGATTTCTTTTAGTTCAAACACCTCAATAAATTGGTTAAATCTCCTCATACTTGTGGTAGTCCTCTGCCTAGGACTGTTAGTTTCTGCCAAAAAACTGATTACATTGAAATCACCTCCTAAGCACCATGGTCCATCCCACAGACCCCTTATGTCAGCCAGTTCTTCCCATAATATCCTCCTTTCTCTGTAGTCATTTGGCCCGTACACATTGGTTATCACCCATTCAAATCCGTCTTCCACTTGCCTAAATTTCAAAGAAACTGAAAATTGTCCTATCAATTCCTCTAGACCTTCAACTACCTCATTCTTCCACATTGCCACAACACCCCTTGCTGATCCCCATGAAGGTAAAACCGCCCAACTGATCCCCCTACCTCTCTACACACTCCTTGCCCATTTGATGTCAAACTCTGCTCTTTTAGTTTCCTGTAACAGTACCACATCTAGGTCTATTTTCTGGATGGCCTCCTTTATTACTGCTCTCTTCCTTGCACTACCCAGTCCCCTCACATTCCAGCTAATAATCCTCATTATTCTTTATTATCCACCCCTTACACCTATTACCCTCACTTGTTTCCTTTCCTCCTATCCCCTCTAGCTCCAAAGCTTTTATCTCCTACCACATCCTTCACCAGTCTTTCAACCTCACTCATTTTTCTCCTTTTATTCTTAACTTCTTCTCTCTCTTTTTGCAGGAATCCTTTCAGCTCATTTGGATCTTTCAGTTTACACCCCAGCTTCTGTACAAATGCTGCCACAGAGCCCTCACTTGCCAGCTCTCTTTTGTCTATCTTTCTATTTCTCTCCTCCTGGCCTACGTCCCCACCTCTACTTTCTTCCTCCTGACTTATTTCTATCTGAAGCTCATCTAGCCCTTCCTTCAGAGAGTTATTCTCCACTTCATATATCAAATTCTCAATGTTACCCAGAATTCTGCTACTACAATTTGCTTCCACCTCTCCTTCTACCTCCCTCTCCAAATCCTCTCTAACACTGCTTCTATTACTTGCCCCTCCCCCTCCTATATCGACTGCAGCCTCTGAATTGGGATTGGAATCTGGCACACAGGACACAAAGCACTCATTAGTAACAAAAACTGAATGGACACAGTTTCCTGGGTTTAGCTGGGATTAAAGAGGGGAACTGGATTTGGAAGCAGTCAGATCCTGATAAATTGTGTGTGTCAACTAACTCCTTGGCTCGGGTCTGAGGTGGTATCCTTCCTGTCTCCCTTGTTATAGAATGGTCCCTCTCTGCACCCACCTGTTTGTCCCTCACTACTTCGTTCCTGCTTTGCTTCAGGAGAGTCGAAGACACTTCCTTACAAACCTCCTGCCCGTTAGCAAGTTTTGGTAATGGAACTTCTAAGATTAGGTCATAGTTTTCGCCCCCAACATTGTTGATGTGCTTTGTTATTTTATCATTCTCCTGGTGTAGAAGCCGCTCTGAATCAGCTCCTTCTGCTGCAACTTCTGAAAACAGGGTGCCAAGATTTAATGTTTCCACCAACTCTGCCTCTAACGATTTGTTTGTCTCAACACTACCTATGCTGGACTGTTCGTCCGAGTCTTCTTCCAGCTCTGGGTCTTCCAACTGACAGTTTACCCAGCCCTCATCGACTCCCTCCTTCTCCTCGCCACACTCCCTTACATACCTAGGATTTGGACGGTCCTGTACTGAGTGACTTCTGCCAGAAGGTTCAGGCACTGATCTGGGGACCCAATGTAGAGAGCAGCTGATTCTCTCTTTCCACCTGGTCGAAGATGATACACCATCAAAGATCCTCTTCGAGGAAGAAGAAGATAGACGCATTCTGGCGTCTATAATCCCCTTCATCTTGTCCTGGGCCACGTGCTCACTTAAACAATCACGTGGCCCTAGGTTCGAAATCTTGGTTGACCCATCCAATCCTCCTATCGGTTCAGACAAACCGGCCTGCATCAAACCCTTAGTTGGTCCAACCCTCTTCTTGACCACATTAAACCTTCGAGAGACTTCAAAAATAGGATGGAATTGAATTAGCACCCCCAAAATTCTAGGATGCAAGGCCAATCAGGACCTAATTCTCACTGAACTTTTTGTGGAATATATAGAAAATTAAACATTACATGTCAACACTGGATAAACAATTCAGAATCCCATTAACTTGCATCTAGCCCACAATACAATACAATTTTGCCCAAAACAACTCTTTCCTATAAACCCATTGCTTTGCTAGGACATCATCCATACAATTTGCATTTTGCAGTTCCTTTCACCCATCTGAATGTAGCTTCCAGCTCTTTAGCTATGTTGCCCATCTTCCTTAGAGTTTGCCTGTACATCCAAGCACCAGAGTTGTTACAGGCATACAGTCCATCCAAGAGATTAACTTTGAATCCTCTTCCACCTCCACCTACTTCAGTCCAAGTTGTTTAGTTATTTCAGCCCTTGTAAAAGAGACAGGAATTCAGATTTTAGTGAATCCCTATGTCCAAAACAGTCCAGAACCAAATCATCTTCACTTCTAAAAACTCCCCCAATTCCTAAGAGTCTAGGGTTGCCCAAAAAGCTTCCATCTAAGTTCAGTGAAAGACGTAAAAAAAAAAAGGAAAAAAGAGGGCCATTTTGTGCCTGAGGTGCGTGCTTTTTTTAAGCAAGGTGCAAAAATGAAAAAAAAAATCAAAAAATAAATGCCAAAATTTAAAATAAATGCAAATTATTAAAATATTAAACACATTATTAATTAAAAATATAAACTTAAATTTTAAATTCACAAAAATGAGTTATTGGTATTTAGGAACCCATATTTTGTCTATTCTATTTATTTCATTTCAAGTGAAAGTGTGTAGTATTAAATAGCATCTTCTAAGCATTATCCCAACTATTGGAGATGATTTTTCAATCTTCCTAAACAGAAGAATAACACAACAGAAATGTACAAGCCACTTCTTTTTCTTTTGTAATTTTGATAAGTAACCTAAAGGCACCTGTACTTACTAACTATGGCACGATATAAGCTTTCCTAAACCCATTGCTCAAATTTGAGATATAACTCCAGATTGGCAAGTGTTATTTTTTCTTATATTTTAAGAGTTCTTAATTATTTATTAAGTAATAATACCATAATAAAGTAAGACTCTCAATACAGCTTACTTCTGAAGCCGTTTTTTGACAAAGACATTCTCCTTTTATATTAATATATTTCTAACAGTAAAAGGTATAGGCTTATACATATCTTAGGTGTTTTTTACGCCCACGTCAAGGAACCGTTCAACCTAAAATCTTAATCTATTAGGTGAGGTCCCTGAATAGGCTTTTATTCTCTGGCATGCCCTCTCAAGCAAAAGCCTATTGGGCTTGAAGCGTGGATAAGCACAGGCCCACCCATACCTTGTGCTGAAATTTAATTAATTATAATGGGAGCAGTGAGCATTGAACACTAGACCACTTGGTCAAACAGGCTCTGATACCATGTCAAATAACAGTTCAACCTAATAGCTTAAGCTGTTAAATGAGGCCCCTCAATAGACTTTTATTCTCTCTGACAGCCCATCCTGTAATTATTTTTTATAGTAATACAATACTTTACATCTTACCTTTCAAACAAAAAAAAAGAAACTCTGACAGACTGAGACAACATTGTAATTCTATTTTCTTTTAAAAAGTGTAACGTATTGAACATCAAAAATAAAAGATAAAATTAAAAATACCATGAACATTGAGACATTCTACACCTGACATATACAACGGGAACTAAGAAGAGTACATTGTAATTCTATGTCAACCTAATTACTTATGATATCAACATCCCCATGGAAGAATGTTGAGGTAAACTAAAATTAGAAGTAGCAATACCAACTCATTTAACCACCTCAAAGTACATCAAGGAGTTGGAGAAAGGAAAAAAAGCTGTACCTCATCAGTGACTGCAGCTCGGGCCCTACGGTGTCTTTCCACCAACTCTGTCAAAACTTCAATAAGGCGCTTCTTCACCTCACCAGTTAGCATCCGTCCCGTAGCATATTCCTGGAAGATAGTAACTTAAGTGCTTTTAAGATCTAACCCCAGGCAGCAATATATGAAGAAAATGATACAAGCTTTTGCCATGTAAAAAAAAAAAAAAAATCCAGTATATTGGAGATTATCTCACCTTCCTGATGTGCTCAAGCTCATCATCATCTTCTAAGAAAAAGCCAAGGTACTTAATTGGTATATCTACCTGATTAAATTCAAAGAAAATCAACCACAAAGTTACTTCCATGGCAGGTTTTAAATGCTCAGCAGATGAAAATTTTCATTCAAACAAAACCCCATGTCAACACCTGTGAACATGGACACAAATAGGGAGCTAAGCAAACAAGATGAGCATATTCATCTTTTATATTAGGATATTGTATGGAAGTTAAACTACAAATCTGAAGGCATTTAGAATTGAATCATATTCCGGATTCCAGAAATAGATACTTGATTCATTCTCAGAAGTACTTGTAGTAATGTGTGTGTCTATATATATATATATATATATACATATATATATATATATATGTATATATATATATATGAGACTTCTAATTATCATTATCATGTAATTAGGAGGATTCAACTTTCTTGTTCAGATGTATTATGAATATAAATTGAAGGACAAGAAATGATACCTCTAGATTTGCTCCATACTTCCTGTGGTTCTCTATAGAATCTTGACCACCAGAAAAGGCATATTTATTTATCTGTAGATGTATTGATGGTTCAAGGGATTCAGAAAACATGCATTTTAATCATGCACATTGTCCCCCAAAGTAAAGAAAAATGACAAAGGCAAAACAGTGTGTGAATTCAGCAGTCTCAATAACCAATCATGCAACACCAATTCATTTATAATCAGTAAATAATCAATATAAAGCATAAGGATTATGTCAGATTCTCTGTAAATCACATCATAGTATTGGTGCTATCATATATATTGAGTATTGATAAAGGACAGGGGAAGGCTTTGCTTGTTGGCAAGGTCATAGAATCAATCAGTTCATGAAAGAAGAATGCTTTCATAATTTGAAATCATACAACAGATCTTTTCTTTTTCTTAGTATTTGTTGTTACTGCTGCCCTCTTTTCCTATCTTTTTTCTTTGGCTTTCCTTCCCAGGTGAATATTTCTTTTGATCGTTTTCCTTTCCCAGTCTTTTCTCTATTAAAAAAAATCACCTGGGAATGTTTTAAAGCTTATCAAAAAAGCTATAGCAGTGTTTTAAATCTTATCAAAAAAAGGTATAGCAGTGTTCTAAAATGCACCTCGCCTGAACCCAAGCACAGCAGCTCCTGTTAAAAGGCATGCACCTGGTTCTCCTTACACCTAGGTATGCACCTTTTCTAAACATCCCTTTATTTGTTATTTTTTGTAGTCTTATGTGCTTCACACCTAAAGCCTTAGTTCTTATAAATAGGATCTCAAATAACAAAATTTTCACAAGGATAGAATTCTGTCAGAATGGATTCCGCCTGTGGAAGGTGTCATCAAGCTGAACTTTGATGGAAGTAGCCAAGGCAACCCCGGGCCTTCAGGTATAGGGGGTATCCTGAGAAATAAGGACAGCAACATAATTTCCCTATTCTCAGGACCGGTGGGAGTGGGGGATTCCACAAGGGCAGAAATCCTTGCTGCAGTACAAGGAATTCAGATCGCCAACCAGCTTGGGGTG